TCCTGCTCTCCTCCTCCTCTTCTCCTCCTCTTCCTCTTCTCTACCTCTTCTCCTTCTCTCCTCTTCCTCTTCTCCTTCTCTCCTCTTCCTCTTCTCCTTCTCTCCTCTCCTCTTCCTCTCCTCTCCTCTCCTCTCCTCTCTGTTGAATGTTTGTCCTCCTCCTCTCCTCTCATCTTCCTCTTCCTCTTCCTCTCCTCTTCCTCTTCCTCTCCTCTCTGTTGAATATGTTTGTCCTCCTCCCTCCCTCCTCCATCTCGCTCTGGTTCCTCTGTAGCGTCTCAATCTGAGATCCGTCTGTTCTCGTGCTGTGTGAATGTTGACGTGTGTTTAGAGGTAGAACACGCGTGTGCACACGCTCATCTGATCATGACACGCAAGCTTCACAGACGGTGAGTGACACACGTGAAGTGCTGCATGATTTGATGTGTGTGTTTGAGTTGTCAGTCTCTGCTCTCCGCTCTATTCACTGGTAAACTGATGGAGAATGACAGATGATGGGTTATTCTGAGGTTAATACAGCTGTTAAACTTAATACAGCTGTTAAACTATTAAACTTTGAGGATTGAGGTTTTCTTTAGAAACGTGGTGCTTCGTACAGCTGGTGGTGCTTTGATTTACAGACTGAAACATTAGAACACAAAGCTGCATATCTCCAATGTTAAAGTCGGCATGAAATAAATATTCACCCTCTACCTATTTTCTAAATGCATGTTATAGAAATTTTCGGGAATGATTCATCTGTGCAGTTTTTTAAAAAAGAAGCGAAAGACCTTCAGTCAGCAGAGATTTCCCATCATGCCGTCTGTCTGTGAGCACATGGAGAGCTATAGCAGAGCTGATTTCTGACGTGAATCAGTCGCATCGCTGCACTACATGTTTATTTGATATTCCAGCTGCACACAAACCCGTCGGGATCGAGATCTAGAATCTCTGTTTCACTGACGTGTGTAGAATGAGAAGAAAACAAGAGTAAAGCAGCTGATAATAAATCTGCAGGCCTGAGCGTCAGTCCGACAGGAATACAGATCCAGAGCAACAAACACATTCAGAGCTTCACCTGCTGCTGGCTTTTTCCCATTAGCATTATTAGTAGAAGAACCGCAAATGTGTCAGACAGACAGGAAGCGAGCATTACAGACACAGGAAGAGTTTGTTAAATGAAACATTCACCCAAAATGATCATTCTGTCATCATTTACTGATGCCATTCAAACCTGTATCTGTACTTTCTCACTCTTATGAGGATGTTTTGAGAAATGATCCGTGTTTTTGTCCATGCAGTGGGTCCAGTGTTGTTCTTCTTTTACAGAGGAAAGACAAAGGTTTGATTGACATGAGCGAGAGTAAATGATACATTTCCAGTGAACGATCGCTTTAACCAGTGAATATGTATCTTTGTGTAAGAGCAGATCACAAACTGAGAGAGTCTTCATGCAAAACGAGAGTAAAAGCCTTTATCTTTCTGCTTGTAAAGGAGTGTGTGTGTGTGTGTGTGTGTGTGTCAGCGGGTGTCGTCTCTCATTAGGCATGTGACAGATGGTTCTCTGGTCTCCTGTAGCGTCACTAGCGTCGATGCAGCGTGACGTCTCTGTAACGAATCTGTCGACACGATTCACCTGAGATTCTCTGGGTTCATATTGTCTGAATGTCAGTGAGAACTCAGTTTGCTTTGTGAAAGTCACAGTAACAGCGAAACTTTGACTTATTTTAGACTGAATTTACAGTATTTATTAGTTACCATATCAACATTATATAGTTGAAAGTGTGCCAAAATTCTAAAATCTTTTGAAGATATCAACGAAACATTTGTTTTACCATAGTAAAATCACCCGACAGGAATACAGATCCAGAGCAACAAACACATTCAGAGCTTCACCTGCTGCTGGCTTTTTCCCATTAGCATTATTAGTAGAAGAACCGCAAATGTGTCAGACAGACAGGAAGCGAGCATTACAGACACAGGAAGAGTTTGTTAAATGAAACATTCACCCAAAATGATCATTCTGTCATCATTTACTGATGCCATTCAAACCTGTATCTGTACTTTCTCACTCTTATGAGGATGTTTTGAGAAATGATCCGTGTTTTTGTCCATGCAGTGGGTCCAGTCTTCTTTTACAGAGGAAAGACAAAGGTTTGATTGACATGAGCGAGAGTAAATGATACATTTCCAGTGAACGATCGCTTTAACCAGTGAATATGTATCTTTGTGTAAGAGCAGATCACAAACTGAGAGTCTTCATGCAAAACGAGAGTAAAAGCCTTTATCTTTCTGCTTGTAAAGGAGTGTGTGTGTGTGTGTGTGTCAGCGGGTGTCGTCTCTCATTAGGCATGTGACAGATGGTTCTCTGGTCTCCTGTAGCGTCACTAGCGTCGATGCAGCGTGACGTCTCTGTAACGAATCTGTCGACACGATTCACCTGAGATTCTCTGGGTTCATATTGTCTGAATGTCAGTGAGAACTCAGTTTGCTTTGTGAAAGTCACAGTAACAGCGAACCTTTGACTTATTTTAGACTGAATTTACAGTATTTATTAGTTACCATATCAACATTATATAGTTGAAAGTGTGCCAAAATTCTAAAATCTTTTGAAGATATCAACGAAACATTTGTTTTACCATAGTAAAATCTAAATTCTGGCTTAAGTACATTTTTCATCTCTGTTTTTATTAATCATTTAAAATGAGACAAATCTGCTATTATTTTAATCTCCAATCTGTTATTTATCAGTTTAGATGCTTCGCTAACTAGCAGAAGACAGTAACCGGTTTTAAACATCAGTTGCGCGGATGAGTTATGTTGTAACACTGCGTTACAGTGTGCTTTTCTATGACATTAGATGTAATTTACACTATTTACTTTAATTAATTTGAATGAGAAACAACAAGAAACAGGTGAATAAAGACTGACAGTCAATGTTTAATGTTTAGAAATTATTATTTCAAGACATGTAAAGCATTTTTGCTGGTTTCTGTGGGCCGTCCCAAGCATGGTTGCAATGTGTTCATTGTCAAACTCCAAAATCAGATTATTTTTAATTCTTAAAAAACGCCATTATTTTATTAGAATTTTTTTTAAATAAAAATATATAAAATATTTTAGTTCGTCTTGTATATTATTTTCATGAGATCAGATAAGATTTTAAGCTGTCATATAGTCATGTTACAAAGTGCCCCTCAGATGTTACAATGTACCCACCTACGGGGCATGTTGTCACATTTCACTTCCATTTTTTGAGGGTAAATAAAGAAAAACGTATACACTGTAATTATGAAACAAAG